TGATTTCCATAAAGTAAACGTTTGAGATAATATTGCGTGGGGGTGGGGGCTCCAAACTTCCAGTCATTTTAGTTCCCGTTCACATGTTTTCGAGTACAGTCTAACCTCTCCTTACGGACACCTCTATAACGGACACCTTTCTATTACGGACAGTTCGTTTGGTCCCAGAAAAGCCAAAAATCATACATTTCCTGCCTCTGTAATACGGACACTTCTGTAAAGCGGACACTTAGTTGTGTCCCTTTGGTGTCCGTAAAGTAAAGAGGTTTGACCGTAATTTTAAAATCTTTCTTGAAGAGGTTTTCCATTTTTCAGACTGTTTACCCCGGTCTTGTCGAGTCCGAAAAATCAAAGTTCTTCTGTAATTGTTAAAAACTTGAGTAGCCTCGTTATGTACTTACAGAGCAAAGCACAGCAAGTTGAGAGAGAAGAGTAACCGTGAGCGCCATGCTGGTTCAGTTTGGATGGAGGAGACTGCAAGACTTGAGTAGTTGCACGCTTTTTATTCTGTGGAGAGGTTAAATGTTATCTGTTCATTGGGTTAAAAACGAAAGGTGTCAAGGGTCTTGTGACGTCCTCTTCCGACTTTCGTCTTTCTCAGTATTTCGGCCTTCCGACGGACCGGATCCCAACTTTTGGACTTTCGATTTCGGACTTGTTTTATACCCATATGCTTTAGATAAATGAATTATGTTAGTCGCGTTTTTTTGTTGAACGTTTGCCATCCTGTTTATTCTCCGTTATGATGTTATGGTGATTAAACAGTGCTTTTTACTTTAAAAGAAAGGTTGAACCTTAAAACTAAAATGTCACGTTCCGGCTAACTAAGGTTATAAACAGGACAAACTGGCATTGTTACAAATCGGAAATATGCTTATCGTCGTGTAAGCAAGCGTGCAAATATGTGATTTTGGAAAAGCTACAATAACTAGAACGTGCTATAATTTAATACGTATGCTATCATTACGTAAAAAACATGCATGCGCTTCTACTCTTCTACCTATAGGATTTCATTGTGGGCTGCATTACAGAAAACATCCGCTTGTAAACCCTGAGTCGAGCTTATAGCTAGCTTATACAACTACGTAAGGGGTTTTAAGAAGGCTTAAAAAACGGGGAAGGGGCTTAATAACCTGACTAAATAGTATTTCAAAACAAGCTACATAGCAGTGTTGATCCAAATACTTTGTCAATTTACCCGCTTTTTGAAGCTTCAAAACGTGGTAAAACAAATTTAACACATTTCAATGCAAGCTAGAAGGGGCTTACATCTGAGGGGAGCGTGTAACCGGACATATTCTTTTACAGGTATTTGATTGGGCCTGTAACTGGTGCGGGAAAGGGCTTAACGGCGGAAGTTTACTCATATTAAATTACTTTGTTTACCACAAAGGATATCACTTGTACCGTCTTTTATATCTAATCACGTACTATCACTACCATCATGTAAGAACTTTTTTATAAGAACCTACAGGCATAAATTTTAAGAACATACCAAGATCTACTCTGACCGAGGGTCACTTATTGTTAACAACGTTTTAATTCTGCTCTAATTTATGAGTTGTACAAATAAAGATACTCAAATACTCGGGGATATTTTTTAACACTAACCATGTGGTATATTATTCCGTGATTATTCCTTGATACACTGAGGAACAAATCATTTTGTAGTAAAACTTTGAGAACATGTTTTAAACGGAACTGAAGGAACTAAGAGCGTATAATTAGCTCCCGGGAATTAGCTGTTGTTATAAAAAAAAGAGCACAAGTACACTGCTTTACTGAATGAACGAGTCTACGTTGAGTCTATGACCAAATCCTTCTCGTGTCGTGAGTTAGTGACTGGATGCATACAAAAAAGATACTTGAGTAATTGTTTAACCAATTCACGTCCCTTCTACCGCTTGTGACATCATCGGTTTTAATGATCAAGGACAACTTTGTCCGCTAAGTTGTGCAGTTTGTGAAGAGATCATTCAAACCATACCATGAGCACAATTCAGTTAAGGACACCCGCGGAGAAAAAGGCAAAAAACCATGTAACATTGACCTGAAATTTTCCATCAAGAAAATTTTGTTTCGGTACCCACCTACCTTTCCTTTCATTTAATCCCTAGATTCTAAAGGCTTTCCTAAAAATTTTTCGCACCAAAATAAATAAAAGCCAACTAAATACCCAGGAAAAGAAACAAAACGAGGCAAGAAAAGCGAAAAAAGAGGGGAAGAGAGAAGCGAAAAGTAAAAGTCAAGACTGCTGTGTCACTTATGATCCGTAAATGGCTTTATAGTAAGTTTTAGCTATTTATAGCATGACGGGTCACCCGAAAACCGCTCGACTAACTTCAAAACGAGTGTGAAGCAAAGTAACCGCCTTTGTAACCAGACATTACTTTAAATGAAGAGGAGTAATCGACTAATCAAAGCATCATGCGACATTGTTGGGCGCTTTTCCTTAAGGGTAGGGAAAAACGGATGGATGCGCCTTAATATAAGTTACACACAACTGACGCTTATTGTAAATTATTGTCAAAAAGGCGACTACAAGAACTGATCAAACAACCTGAATAGACTATAGTAACTAATTCAAATTCGCATAAAAGCCACCTTATGCCTTTTGATGGATAAGTTATGGGTAAAACATTTTGCATAAGGCATAGGGTGAGCTGATAGAGAAAATTTGCCAGCGCCGCTGAAAGGGAGAAGGGTGGGGAAACTTGCTTGCCCGTTGTAGAGTAGACTTGCGAGAAGACGGCGAATTTGTTTTCTAGGGCGTATAAAAGGCCTAGGGAATTTCCCTGGGGACGGTAAAGAACAAATAGACTGCTTTACAAGGGAGAACGCAGTNGGCAAAAAACCATGTAACATTGACCTGAAATTTTCCATCAAGAAAATTTTGTTTCGGTACCCACCTACCTTTCCTTTCATTTAATCCCTAGATTCTAAAGGCTTTCCTAAAAATTTTTCGCACCAAAATAAATAAAAGCCAACTAAATACCCAGGAAAAGAAACAAAACGAGGCAAGAAAAGCGAAAAAAGAGGGGAAGAGAGAAGCGAAAAGTAAAAGTCAAGACTGCTGTGTCACTTATGATCCGTAAATGGCTTTATAGTAAGTTTTAGCTATTTATAGCATGACGGGTCACCCGAAAACCGCTCGACTAACTTCAAAACGAGTGTGAAGCAAAGTAACCGCCTTTGTAACCAGACATTACTTTAAACGAAGAGGAGTAATCGACTAATCAAAGCATCATGCGACATTGTTGGGCACTTTTCCTTAAGGGTAGGGAAAAACGGATGGATGCGCCTTAATATAAGTTACACACAACTGACGCTTATTGTAAATTATTGTCAAAAAGGCGACTACAAGAACTGATCAAACAACCTGAATAGACTATAGTAACTAATTCAAATTCGCATAAAAGCCACCTTATGCCTTTTGATGGATAAGTTATGGGTAAAACATTTTGCATAAGGCATAGGGTGAGCTGATAGAGAAAATTTGCCAGCGCCGCTGAAAGGGAGAAGGGTGGGGAAACTTGCTTGCCCGTTGTAGAGTAGACTTGCGTGAAGACGGCGAATTTGTTTTCTAGAGCGTATAAAAGGCCTAGGGAATTTCCCTGGGGACGGTAAAGAACAAATAGACTGCTTTACAAGGGAGAACGCAGTAATCTAGTTGATTAAATCGTCACTCGGTGGCTTTTACACGAATGAGAATAGTTACGATATTTCGACCGACCACTACCAGGAGTTAACAAAAAAAAATAAATTTAGTAAAGGAACGGACGAACGTGACGTGGTATGGTGCGGCTACTTGCTTTTGATAACGGAAAAACAAATACAAACATATTATCAACTAAATATAGTATATGTTATAGATTATAATCACGTTCATTGATGGCTGGAGGCGTAAGGATCTTAACTTTAACTCAATAGAGAAGCACTCTTAGCACGCCTTCCTCAAGGAATATACATCCATTGTTTAATTTTTTTCATGTACGAATTTGCAGCATGAGGGTGTCAGAGTGGTTTAAAAGTAATTTAAAACCAAGGTCATAATTGTTTTTATATTCACTGAAGCCGGCACAATTTGTTCCCCAGCCTCGGGGGCGGGGTGGGTGGGGGAGGTACTTTGGTAAATTTTTGCTGGGCGTGTGCCGCTGGCCTCTCAGAACCCCTAACCCGTTATAGTCAATTCTGTGGCCAATTACTTACCCCATCTTCGTCACTTCTGACCAAATGTATTTTGGGCGACCCGATATGAGTGACTTTCTGTTTATCATGCATTTGTCTTATAATCTTCATAGCTTTTAATCCCTTCTTACAAGAATATGTTTACCCCCAAAATCCCGAAAATTTCCAACCCTGTTCTACTAACTCTTGAAAAACGCAAAGCTGTTATAATCAATCCAGTCCAATCCATCCAGCGACACATCTTCTTTAGCCTATTACTAGGAAGTCCCCTCCCACAAATTTTTTGGTTAGACTTAGTAGGTCTTGGTAATTATATTGCAATGAGGTGATTGTGTGGCACGCTTCCATGCAGCTGGAGTTTATTCAAAAGATATGTTTCATGGGTAGGAGATAAACGTTTAAAAGGGTATTGTAATCCCAATAAAACCGCTTTCAATTCAAGGCTAACCTAGCTCAAAGAACTTAAGCCGGGGCTGGAAGTGTGACGCTGCAATGTCTGAACCACTGGGTAGGGTCTCACTGGGTCTGTCACAAGGGGGGTGTTCTTGACATTGCTGCACGCTGCTGCACATCTGAAAGTAGAGAATATGGCGCTATTCTTTACATTCAATGCATGTATCTATTTGCCTGTGAATCACTCAATCACTCGAGACATCGACCATTGGTATATTGACACTCAGAAATAAGGCGGACACATTGTTGTTCTATTTCTCTATTTATTTTCTATCAAATGAAACAATCACAGAGCACGAAACTTACTTTGTTAATGTTACTGACTAAAGACGTTGATTACGTAAGTCTTTGCTGTATCTTTAAGCATCATCTTGAATGATAGCCACTTTGATGAATCTGATACCGACCCTTTCTACTTTGTGGCTTTTGTAGACTTCCAGGTTGAGTCCCTTGTTCAACATCAGACGGTTGTTGTAACCAGCGGTCCTCACGAAGCCTCCGTCATGCGGAATGTAGCACGAGCCCCAGCGTTCATCCAACTTGAGAGTAAAGACAAACTGTCCAGGGTAGAAGGAGTCGCTGGGTTTGGGAAGAACCGGATTTCCTCGCAGGGAAGAAGCACTCGCACCTGAAACCCCTTCAATTCCATAGCAGGGTGCATTGGTTTTGTAGTTGTCCTTGTCGCAAGTTTCAAACCCAACAAATCTTGTGCCGTCAGACACCACGTATCTAATGTCGCTATCAATAGGTTTGCCTCCAATACTGACGTCATTTGCAACGGTGATCTCTACAGTCAGCGGCTTTCCAGCTTTCAAAACACCAGAAGGAATCATGGGTATTTTTAGAAGAGCGGCATTGTCTTTTGCGTCTGCGTTGAATGTGAGTTGTTGGGATGTTGATGTACGAGAACTGTCGATATATGACGCATGCGCCTCCAACCAAGTCGGAGTCATGGTCTGATGGTAAATCACTTTTCCCTTAGAAAAGATGCGTAAATAAATAGAATCAGGGAACATAAAAAGCTTAATCGCAAAACTTTATCAGCCTGAATCTCACCACTGGGCCTCGAATTGGACCTCTACAATAATAAGTTCTTCGCAGCGCTTTGATAATAGACCCTTTCACTGTTTATGACGCCACCTTGGCTTGGGGGCAAACACAGCTAAAATTACAGTTAATGTATGAGATTTTGGACCACTTGGAACCGCTACAACGCCTCTACAAAGTGTTAGATTTCCAACACTTGCCACTACTTTAAATAGTTTTAGAGATATTATTCAAACAATAGAAAATAGGGCTATTAAAGAAGGTACGACGTCCGTAAATTCGAATTGCAAATCTTCTCATGCGGCTTCTAATTTCATTGTAATTTGAATAATGTTGATTAGAAGGGTTTGTATGAAATCTTAAAAATTCGTTTTAAGGTCGTTATAAGACCTTATAACCTGAATCTCTTCTTTATACTTCATGAGAATAATCTCAGTACAAATGTCTTTTAAAATACATTTTCGCTGTGGAAATCAGCCTCTTTGTAGCCGTGTTTATCCCCCAGCCAAGATGGTGTCATAAACCGTGAAAAGGTCTATTGACACAGTTGGTCAAACGAGTTAAAGGAGTTGGATCTAATTTGTTTATTAATGTGGTCGCTAAAATGAATACACCTTCTGTGTATGGTATCATGAGGTGTCATGATCAACAGCCAACAGCTTCCAAATGCCAGAAAATTCTTATCACTAATTTCCTGGAACTATCTTGTATACAACTTGATCCACTTCACCGCTCAAAATCAGGTAGTTCAATGACTGTTAGATGTTTGAATATTTTTAAAAGCAAATGTGACTTACCTGTCCGCTGCAGTGACTCTCTAAGCACGTGGTTTCCAGGCAGGAGGAGTGAACTACCTTAAAGCATAATAAAAAGAGGTGATAAAGATTTTTAATAATCTCTTCATGTTGTCCTTCAGCAGCATAATTAAAAAAATATTGTTCAAATGAGGCCTTAAACTGCTATAAAAAATAAAATTGTAATCCAAACCCAACTTCTACCGATAACGGAATGACATCATCACACGTATTTAATCGGCGAAAGCTTTTATCGATTGCTATCGAATAGTATCGTTTACTTATTTTATCTACTGTCCATATCCACTCGGCCAACAAATGTCAATTTTTGCACCCGTTCTCAGACCTGGCCTTTGAGAAATTATGTCATCATGACCTAGATTAGAACGCCAACAAAAACGATTGCTTAAAATTCATTTCGAATTTGTATATTTCTCTTTTAATTTCTTATTCATTTGGAATTGAAACGATAAATACGTTCATACACTCCCGTAGTTTCCTCGAAAACCACACCCGATTCCAGACCAAAATGGGCAAAGTTTATACCCGTCTTCATACCAAAAAGGAGCAAAAACCATAACCTTTGGGGCGGCACACACCAATGCGGCCTATATAAACGAGTAACCTCCCTTCCGGTTTCTAGCAAGCCATTTTTACAGGAATTCTTGATTTTTCAGACTATTCTCAGTGTATTTTGTCTCGCAGATGTGATATAATATAGTTTTTTAAAACTTGAATACTGTTGTAATGTACTTACAATCACGGAAAGAGTCGCACGGAACGCCATGCTGCGGGTCCAGTTATTCGCTTATGACGCGATAACGAGCAGTTGGATGTAGAAGACTGTAAGACCTTTTTGTAGGGTGCACGCTTTTTATTCTGAGGAGAGGTTAAATGTCATCTATTCGTGGAGATTATAACGTGAAATTGTACATCTCCCAAGGCGAGATATCCAGATCATTTCAGCTGCTTTAGGACATGTTTTGTCAGCACCAGCGAATCCTGCTCTTTCCAAACGGCTGGAATGCAACCCTGTATTGTTTCTTCGTTTCCGTTTTTGTTGACTATGTTCCAGAACCTTTATCCTTCATCTTATTATCCTGTTAAGAGATCAAAATGTGATACCATAATGTGTGCTATCATCTAGCTAACAGGGCATTTTCCAAGGAAATGTGCAATTTGCTTTGGCTATGCTCCAAACTCAAAATGATAAGGACGACTGCCTTTTTAGGTTCCTCGCTTACCCGTCTTTGCGGAGGCGTTAGAGGGCCCGGTTGGAGAAGGCCGTGAAAAACTGATCACTGCTATGAAGAAATGGAGTTATTGTTTGGCAATTAGTCTGGAAAAGGGTGGGGATTTTTCTCGGTCTGAAGGGATACAAAGTTACCATTAAACATGGTTTGGTCTAAACATCTAAATTCCCGTGAGTCTTCTGGGACTATACCATCATCCAACTCCCCTCGGATGTCAAGTACGGTATTTTTATCATATCCAAGACTCTATGATACTTGCGACCTTTTAAATATGATTAGACTTACCAGAGGTTTCCAAAAGTTGACGATCATTTTTATTGCAAAAAATTTAAGACAATGGGTGATATCATGAGACCAAGCTCAAGGATTTTAGATTTGTCAGGCTTGAGTTCCTCTTGTAGGATACGGATTTAAAAACAGAAGGATCTCACAAATGCTTAGAACCTGTTAAACCTGTTTTAGGCTGGTTTGGTGTTTAAAGATCTACAAATGCATTCTAAGCGACGCTATCAAATGTTTTGTCCGTACGGTCATCCTAGGGCAACTTCTGCCTTCTCGAATTTACGGGGACTTTGTTGTCATTTCTCGAAAATGTACATGCTTTTTAGGAGTGTACGAAATCGAGAGATTTTCTGATTCCTGTTCTCGTCACGGTCCCTTTTTGCGAACAACATCCGTTTTAGGTAGTGAAAAGTAAAGCTTCAGAAAATCATAGGGAAGTTGAAAGAAAAATTCCGAAAATGTTGGGTGGTTTAGGATTGAGCTGAGCTCTTAAGCTGTTGACATCTAGGCAAAATCTTGCTTATTTTCGAACGACGGTCCCTGTGTTCCCTCTTTTGAGAGCTTAGGGTTTGTCATCATTGATTGATGGGTTTTCACTATTTTTAGTTCCATGAATCTGAAATGTATACTTGTTTTCGTTCTATCTTTCAGGTACATTAAAATTAATTTTGTTTCTGCTCCAAACCCAGCATGAAGCCATTGCCCCAGGGTTTGCCAATGCTGTTACGTGTAGTTATTCTCACTATGATAGATTTCCAAAGATCAACTTCCAAGGATTGAGGGAATAAAAAAGTTTTGTCGAGAAAAAACTTCATTTTGTTTTAGTAAAAAAAGAGGAAAGTGACTATTCAAAGCATCATACAACATGCCTTGCCTGTTTTTGTACCTTTTTTTTATGACAAGGACAAAGCATGTAACGCTTGCCTACGGATGCGCTTCAATATAAGTTACCCGGAAGTTACACGCCTGTTTACCCGATTAAACGCCGCGCGTTTGTTAAATTTTCAGCTTTTTGATGTGAGGTTTATGCTAGGGCTGCGTTTATTCGATAGCGGCTCACATTCTTAAAATTCCTGTGTTAGTTTGGGTTTGGGAAGAACCGGATTTCCTCGCAGGGAAGAAGCACTCGCACCTGAAACCCCTTCAATTCCATAGCAGGGTGCATTGGTTTTGTAGTTGTCCTTGTCGCAAGTTTCAAACCCAACAAATCTTGTGCCGTCAGACACCACGTATCTAATGTCGCTATCAATAGGTTTGCCTCCAATACTGACGTCATTTGCAACGGTGATCTCTACAGTCAGCGGCTTTCCAGCTTTCAAAACACCAGAAGGAATCATGGGTATTTTTAGAAGAGCGGCATTGTCTTTTGCGTCTGCGTTGAATGTGAGTTGTTGGGATGTTGATGTACGAGAACTGTCGATATATGACGCATGCGCCTCCAACCAAGTCGGAGTCATGGTCTGATGGTAAATCACTTTTCCCTTAGAAAAGATGCGTAAATAAATAGAATCAGAGAACATAAAAAGCTTAATCGCAAAACTTTATCAGCCTGAATCTCACCACTGGGCCTCGAATTGGACCTCTACAATAATAAGTTCTTCGCAGCGCTTTGATAATAGACCCTTTCACTGTTTATGACGCCACCTTGGCTTGGGGGCAAACACAGCTAAAATTACAGTTAATGTATGAGATTTTGGACCACTTGGAACCGCTACAACGCCTCTACAAAGTGTTAGATTTCCAACACTTGCCACTACTTTAAATAGTTTTAGAGATATTATTCAAACAATAGAAAATAGGGCTATTAAAGAAGGTACGACGTCCGTAAATTCGAATTGCAAATCTTCTCATGCGGCTTCTAATTTCATTGTAATTTGAATAATGTTGATTAGAAGGGTTTGTATGAAATCTTAAAAATTCGTTTTAAGGTCGTTATAAGACCTTATAACCTGAATCTCTTCTTTATACTTCATGAGAATAATCTCAGTACAAATGTCTTTTAAAATACATTTTCGCTGTGGAAATCAGCCTCTTTGTAGCCGTGTTTATCCCCCAGCCAAGATGGTGTCATAAACCGTGAAAAGGTCTATTGACACAGTTGGTCAAACGAGTTAAAGGAGTTGGATCTAATTTGTTTATTAATGTGGTCGCTAAAATGAATACACCTTCTGTGTATGGTATCATGAGGTGTCATGATCAACAGCCAACAGCTTCCAAATGCCAGAAAATTCTTATCACTAATTTCCTGGAACTATCTTGTATACAACTTGATCCACTTCACCGCTCAAAATCAGGTAGTTCAATGACTGTTAGATGTTTGAATATTTTTAAAAGCAAATGTGACTTACCTGTCCGCTGCAGTGACTCTCTAAGCACGTGGTTTCCAGGCAGGAGGAGTGAACTACCTTAAAGCATAATAAAAAGAGGTGATAAAGATTTTTAATAATCTCTTCATGTTGTCCTTCAGCAGCATAATTAAAAAAATATTGTTCAAATGAGGCCTTAAACTGCTATAAAAAATAAAATTGTAATCCAAACCCAACTTTCACCGATAACGGAATGACATCATCACGCGTATTTAATCGGCGAAAGCTTTTATCGATTGCTATCGAATAGTATCGATTACTTATTTTATCTACAGTCCATGTCCACTCGGCCAACAAATGTCAATTTTTGCACCCGTTCTCAGACCTGGCCTTCGAGAAATTATGTCATCATGACCTAGATTAGAACGCCAACAAAAACGATTGGTTAGAATTCATTTCGAATTTGTATATTTCTCTTTTAATTTCTTATTCATTTGGAATTGAAACGATAAATACGTTCATACACTCCCGTAGTTTCCTCGAAAACCACACCCGATTCCAGATCAAAATGGGCAAAGTTTATACCCGTCTTCATACCAAAACGGAGCAAAAACCATACCCTTTGGGGCGGCACACACCAATGCGGCCTATATAAACGAATAACCTCCCTTCCGGTTTCTAGCAAGTCATTATTACAGGAATTCTTGATTTTTCAGACTATTCTCAGTGTATTTTGTCTCGCAGATGTGATGTAATATAGTTTTTTAAAACTTGAATACTGTTGTAATGTACTTACAGTGCAAACTACAGCAAGTTGAAAGAGAAAGACAATCACGGAAAGAGTCGCAGTGAACGCCATGCTGCGGGTCCAGTTATTCGCTTATGACGCGATAACGAGCAGTTGGATGTAGAAGACTGTAAGACCTTTTTGTAGGGTGCACGCTTTTTATTCTGAGGAGAGGTTAAATGTCATCTATTCGTGGAGATTATAACGTGAAATTGTACATCTCCCAAGGCGAGATATCCAGATCATTTCAGCTGCTTTAGGACATGTTTTGTCAGCACAAGCTAATCCTGCTCTTTCCAAACGGCTGGAATGCAACCCTGTATTGTTTCTTCGTTTCCGTTTTTGTTGACCATGTTCCAGAACCTTTATCCTTCATCCTATTATCCTGTTAAGAGATCAAAATGTGATACCATGATGTGTGCCATCATCTAGCTAACTTGGCATTTTCCAAGCAAATGTGCAATTTGCTTTGGCTATGCTCCAAACCCAAAATGATAAGGACGACTGCCTTTCTAGGTTCCTCGCTTACCTGTCTTTGCGGAGGCGTTAGAGGGCCCGGTTGGAGAGTACTGTGAAAAACTGATCACTGCTATGAAGAAATGGAGTTATTGGTTGGCAATTAGTCTGGAAAAGGGTGGGGATTTTTCTCAGTCTGAAGGGTTACAAAGTTACCATTAAACATGGGTTGGTCTAAGCGTCTAAATCCCTCGGATATCAAGTACGGTATTTTTATCATGTCCAAGACTTAAACTTGCGACCTTTTAAATATGATTAGACTTACCAGAGGTTTCCAAAAGTTGACGATCATTTTTATTGCAGAAAACTAAGGAGGACAATGGGTGAGGCCAAGCTCAAGGATTTCAGATTTGTAAGGCTTGAGTTCCTCTTGTAGGATACGGATTTAAAAACAAAAGGATCTGACAAATGCTTTTAGAACCTGTTAAACCTGTTTTAGGCTGGTTTGGTGTTTAAAGATCTACAAATGCATTCTAAGCGACGCTATCAAATGTTTTGTCCGTACGGTCATCCCAGGGCAACTTCTGCCTTCTCGAATTTACGGGGACTTTGTTGTCATTTCTCGAAAATTTACATGCTTTTTAGGAGTGTACGAAATCGAGAGATTTTCTGATTCCTGTTCTCGTAACGGTCCCCTTTTGCGAACAACATCCGTTTTAGGAAGTGAAAAGTAAAGCTTCAGAAAATCATAGGGAAGTTGAAAGAAAAATTCCGAAAGTGTTGGGTGGTTTAGGATTGAGCTGAGCTCTTAAGCTGTTGACATCTAGGCAAAATCTTGCTTATTTTCGAACGACAGTCCTTGTGTTCCCTCTTTTGAGAGCTTAGGGTTTGTCAACATTGATTGATGGGTTTTCACTATTTTTACTTCCATGAATCTGAAATGTATACTTGTTTTCGTTCTATCTTCCGGGTACATTAAAATTAATGTTGTTTCTGCTCCAAACCCAGCATGAAGCTATTGCCCCAGGGTTTGCCAATGCTGTTACGTGTAGATATTCTCACTATGATAGATTTCCAAAGATCAGCTTCCAAGGATTTAGGAAATAAAAAAGTTTTGTCGAGAAAAAACTTCATTTTGTTTTAGTAAAAAAAGAGGAAAGTGACTATTCAAAGCATCATATACAACATGCCTTTGCCTGTTTTTGTACGTTTTTTTTCTTATTACAAGGACAAAGCATGTAACGCTTGCCTACGGATGCGCTTCAATAAAAGTTAAACGGAAGTTACACGCCTGTTTACCCGATTAAACGCCGCGCGTTTGTTAAATTTTCAGCTTTTTGATGTGAGGTTTATGCTAGGGCTGCGTTTATTCGATAGCGGCTCACATTCTTAAAATTCCTGTGTTAGTTACAAGTTGTGCCCAGTGTTTCATTTAATCCTTGAGTATTAATGTACGCCGCAATTTTTAGAGTAGAGGAAGGTGTTTATTCAAGACCAGTGTTTATGGGTAATTTTGCTCTCATCTGCTGCGCTTAATCGCGTGTATACGGTATGCATTGTTTCCTGACCCAGATGACAGCATCTGACGCTAAGCACGAATTATTGACGAAAAGACAACACTGAAGGACTGATAAAAGAACGTGAATAGACTGTAGTTACAATGTACAACTTAAGGAACTTTTGGGTGGGGATGTGTCGCTGGGACCCTTGAACCCTTAACCGATACCAAAGCTAGTTCAGCTGAATTTCGCTACCCTATACTAGAGTAAACTCCCCAAATCCCCTCTATCTTATAGTAGCTTTTAGGCTGAGTTGCGTAACTTTAACTTGCCGATTTGATTCTTTGATATCTTTGGGTCGGTGGCAATTTTCTAGTCTATACTGTAATCTTCAACCAATTGATCAGTTTCCTTGAATTGATACCCTACTCTAGACGCAAACTCTCAGATTCATATACCCTATCTCAGAGTAAACTGCTTGAAAACCATACCCCTCACAGCGGCACATACCTTTATAGCCTACATATGGCAGTAACCGCCCCCGGGCCGATTTGCTAGCCCTAGTGTAGCCGGCGCTGGTTTTTTAGAGTTTAGGGAGAAATTTTGACGCGTGCGCGTATGAAGTGTTTTCCCGTCACTCGCTCTCTATCAAAACCAACCAAAACCCTATTTAACGGGCACCTGCCACGCAGGCTACCGGTTTGCTCTCTCTTTATTGTCTATAACAAATAATCAGAGAATTCTCTCGTATCAGTGCCAGGCCCTCAGATAGTAGGGACGTCGCGAAAACAAGGTCAAGTTAAAAATGGATGATCTCTGCACACAACTTGTTGAGGCTAATCCTCAACAATAGAACAATCTATTTCCTAAGTCCGCTCCAATCGACCCGTTCCAATCTTTTTAGTTTCAATAACTTCCAGCATGCTGTGCGCGGGCGCCTCCTTGTCGTTGTGAAACACCGTGAAACAAACCCACGTGCTCCGGATCGGGAATTACCTGTATTAAACGCGTAAGTGCTGAGTTCTCATTGTTTGGTTTTTACTAGACGGCAAAGTTTAGTAAGCCAAAATGAGATTCCCAGCGTAACTTGTTGTGTTGTTCAAGAAATGTGCCGACGCGTGGAAGTCTCGATTTAAAAGGGCGCACCAGTCAGTTCGAAATATCGGGGGTTTCGAAAAGTCGAGGGTTCGAAATTCGGAGGAAAAGTTCTGATGTCTGACCAAACAAATCCAAGGGAGACGACTGCCTTCTCTCTTCCCTCGATCATTACTGTATGTACTACCTCAGTGTGGTCGGTACACAGCGCATTTTCGATCAAATGAATAAATGAAAATAAATATATGAGCTAGTTATTAATTCCAAAAACAACGTTCTGGATTACAATTGATAATTAGAAAAAGTTGGAAAGACACCTATTAATAAAACAGCGTTTTAAACGTTCAGTCCTACTTTAAGGAAGTACATAGGAGTGAGTGAGAGACCATGATTCCTTATTTTACTGGATGGGAGGAGATAAAAGGGTCCTCAGACGCTCTTCAATAACTTATATTTTTGTCTGAGGCCATTTAATCGAAATGGGCGTGACCTCTTTAAGAAATCCAAAACAAACTGCTCTCTCGTAAAACTTATCTTTTTATAAACATTCTCATCATAACTTGCATACTGAAATGCAAAAGGTAAAAAGAGGTATACAGTGGAACTCGGTTAATACGGACACCAAGGGGACATGCCATAGTGTCCGTATTATCCGGGTGTCCGTATAAAGCGGGCTCTCAGAGAAAACGTCAGGGACACATGCTTTATCGATACAAACACCAAAGCAGACAGTTTTACGAACCAAGGATGGGTAGAAGTATGTGGAAAGACAGTCAATCGGGGTGGAGGTCTTGGTATGGAAATACCATGTGTTTACATTTTTGATGGTCCTCGGAAACACGTGGATTTACTTGAACAATTACTAGACGTTAGCAACGTTAAAGCTCGCAGCAAGCAAACAACGTCAAAGAGGAAGAAGTTTAAGAGCAATGACTGCAACAAAAAGCCAAGGAAGTGAAACTTGTGTAACAGGAGGCACAAAACTTTATTAAAGGACTATACGTAGTACAAGAGTCAAACACCGGAAGAAAGACAGATTGTTCAAAATCAAATATGTCACGCTACTTTGTTACTGTTTTTTTTCTAGTCATGTAATAAAATTTTATTCACCCGTAAAAATCTGTCATTATTTGAACAGGGTACAATGTCTACAATTGTCACATAATTGTGACAATGAAAATAGACAGTGTGCAAATAACCAGTGTCCGTAAAGCGTTGTTGACAATATATGAGAGTTTGTGACTTGGGACACAGAAGTGTCCGTTGTCCGTATTAACCGGTGTCCTTATAAAGCGGGTTAATTTTAGAGAAAATATATGAGCTTTTTGTCGGGACAAACGAAACAGTCCGTATTAAGCGAGTGTTCGTAGAGCGGGGTTCCACTGTAATCAGATTATGGAAGAGATGGTATTAAAGAGTCTAGTCCTTACAATGTTGACTAGTCATACTTCTTGCACCACTGAAATATATGTACATACGCCTTCCCATTTTGCTGAGAAGAGAATCGTTGTCCCAGTTTGTAGGATTACTATGAAAGTAAACGCTCAAAAGCTTAAGAAATGTAAACGTAAAGGTGTGTAACAGTGGTGAGAGGCCTTTTTAGCCACGAACAATTAATATCGCAGTCGCTATATTTCTCAGATTTTTTTTTTGAGTTTAGTCAATTTACCATAGATTCAAGCGGGAATAATACAGAAAATAACTAAAAAACAGATCAGTGCTTTTTTCCTCGTTCTACATTGTACGTGTGGTGTATACATACCACCTTAACTCAAAACTGTGTTTTTAACAAATTTTTTTCAGCACAGAAGCCCGAAACGGCTGTTGTTGTTGACATTCAACATGGACGTTTCAAGAATTTTACAGATAATGTCATAAAACTGTCAGATGACGAAACAAAATGGACTGGTTTATTAGCTAGTGAAAATAACCGCGCTATGTTTTCGGGCCCTGAAAAGTTGCCAGGACTTAACTAACGGGCCCTTGGGCCCCGGCCAACTTTCGTCGCCGGTGAACTGGGAATGAGATGCTGTTTCCTTGGTAACTTATATGAAAACTCAGAAGTTTTGGACACGTGATAACAATTATTGCTTAGCAACAGGCAGTCAACACCCGGGTGTTTCATAAGAAAGGCGGCCATCTTTCGAGAGAGCAGTGTGTTGGATTTACAGTGAGATTAGCGTTCGATTTGTTAAACATTTAATCATGGCTATGCAAGTTGGTTCACACAGATTCGAGGGTGAAAGAGAAAGCATTTATAATTTGATTCCAAAAATTCAAGAAAGGCCTCCTAAGCCGACGATGTGAGTGACTATTTTCCAGTTTTCCAATCGACTGTACATCGATTTTCATCGGTGACATGTCTCTCCATCTTTTACTAACTATCTTTATTTTTACAATGTACCTAAGACTAACATTTTCAAACGTTTTTCCGACAGGTATCGCTCCAATTTCTCCACCAATGTGCGACAAGAGGTCAAGACGAACAAGCAGAGCTCGAAAACGATGGTGAGTTATAAACTTAAGCTTTTGCTTTGAGTTGCGTTTGTTGTTATGAGAATAAACAAATTGGGCAAAAGAATGTTAATCGTGCTCAATATTTTTTTGCTTTGTTAAGAATAAAGTTCCTTTCTTTTAGGGGCCACCGAAAGTTGCGCTTACGGGGCCGAAAGAGTTTTTGGCGAAGCATTCGAAGGAACCTAGGTTACCAGAAAGTAAGCATACACCGTTCACTTTAGTACTCAAGCTAATTTATGATAGTAGTTTGTTGCTTTGATTCGAGCTTTAGCTTGTATTTCGCTACATGTATTTCGGTTTTAGCTTGAGAAGGAACAATTTGGAGACAAATTATCCAAACAATTTTGTGTTCCTCTTTGAAAAGGCTACTTGGCTTGTGTATTATTCAAAAGTCGTGCTTAGCGTTTTTGGGTATGGTACACATCGATGCGATACAAGCTAGACAGCCCTTAAGTTAATGTATACACGGAGGAGAGTAAGACCTCTGCCTTATTTTGGCCGTAGCACAAGTAGAGTTGGATTATTGCAAAATTCTTTTTTTTTTAAATCTGTGCCTGCGGTTGTGAACAACAAGAAGCTTATTGTATATAGTTACACAACAGAATGCTAATTAGATTATAATTTTTATTTGTTAGAGACTGGTTTCAAGTATCCGGACCACGATACCAGACGCCCTCCTGTTCCAAAACATGATGAAAAACCTCTTATGGGGCTACGTTCAAACAAAGACCACATCAAGACAAATGCTGTGGAAAATATCATGTCTGTACCAAGGAAACCAGAGAAAAAATTTGCTGACACTCGAGCAGGTGCAACGCACCCACTTGATCCGTCAGGATTGACACCTAAGTATGTCAACAAGAAAGATTTTGGCAAAACTCCGGCCTATTTAGAGAGAAGGAAAGCTGAAGTAGAAAGAGCCCAGAAGGAATATGATGCCTATGTTCAAGAACGATTTAGGCAAGGTGCCATGAAGAGCTTAACAGAAAACGAAAGGTAACGGAGAATTTTACAGTTGACATTTGCTTTTGCCCATCAAAGTTGTAAAGACCAGTTTGTTGTGAGAGTGTTGAAAAGAAGCAAATTTTAATTGGTGTTAGTTTTTCTCACAGAATAGTAATGCAGATATAATAATAATAATTATAATAATAATAAAACCTTTTCTATTGAGGGTAGCACTTAATTCTCCTGATAATCTACACATGGCTTTCAGAAAAAATTAAATAAATAATAAAATAAAAAATGCAATAATCAATCAAAAAGCTATGAATCATTCCACTCTGAAATAGAGTACAGTATTAATAAATTGTCTAGTGGACACCTGTTAACCTGGGCTAGTATCAGCTACATGTAAATACCCAACTAAAAAATATTTCAGTCTCTCACTATTAACCACGTAATGGTTGGCTCAACTGGTTAAGAGGTGGATGAGTAACATACTCTGGTTTGATCTGCCCTGCTGGACAAACACTTGCAGGGTTAATTGCTGCCTTTGCTAGGATATCTGTGAATGGTTAGATTTTCTATTCTTCACTCCCCATCAACTTTAATGATAGTAATAAAAAGACAATGTGCATGTATTATCCATCACCCTGGCTGTTGTTTCAGGAAATATCAGGGTACAAAGAAAGCCAGTGTTACAGCTTGCCTTTTCAGCAAGATGTCATAGCATATACTAGCCCAGGAGTCTTTTCAACTAGCCCCAAAAACTATTTGATGAGCAGTATTGATTACACAGATTTTCTGTACTTTAAGTTACTCAAAAAAACTTAAGGAAGTTAAGAAAAAAATTCTAGCCCATGGCAAAATTAACTAGTGCCAAGCTATGCACTGCTTTCCTTGCACACTGAATATCAAAGCACTTTTTTATGCCATATTTTATAATTTTTTTTCCAAAGAAAACCTCTTAGATGTTTTCTTAAGCAGTTGTTATTTTATTATCCCCCTACAGACAAGGAATACTTGATGGACTAAAAAAGAATTGGGAAGAACTACATCACCAATACCAAGGCCTATCAGTGGTTACAGACACAGCACCCAAGAAAGCACGCAAAGAACGAATGGAAGCTGAAATGAAACAACTAGAAAGAGACATTGAAACTGTTGAAAAACACAAAGTTATATACATTGCAAATCCTTTCTAGACAGAATACTTAATTTGTTTTATTAGATGCTCCTACTCAGTATGTTTTTTCTTGATTCCCTCCAAGGCTTATAATATTCTGCAGTTTGATTCGGAAAGTTATGTTTATCTAATTAAAATCAGGTTAATCTGCAAGCATTAAAAAAGAAAGTTGAGAAAGTTGCCCTCTGATGCAACATTAATTTGTAAATAATATTGTACAAAGTATTTTATTAAAAATTCTCTGAATGAAAATAGTGTCTCTTTTGTGTTTTATGGAAAAGCAATACAGTCAACTCTGTTAAANTATGTTCAAGAACGATTTAGGCAAGGTGCCATGAAGAGCTTAACAGAAAACGAAAGGTAACGGAGAATTTTACAGTTGACATTTGCTTTTGCCCATCAAAGTTGTAAAGACCAGTTTGTTGTGAGAGTGTTGAAAAGAAGCAAATTTTAATTGGTGTTAGTTTTTCTCACAGAATAGTAATGCAGATATAATAATAATAATTATAATAATAATAAAACCTTTTCTATTGAGGGTAGCACTTAATTCTCCTGATAATCTACACATGGCTTTCAGAAAAAATTAAATAAATAATAAAATAAAAAATGCAATAATCAATCAAAAAGCTATGAATCATTCCACTCTGAAATAGAGTACAGTATTAATAAATTGTCTAGTGGACACCTGTTAACCTGGGCTAGTATCAGCTACATGTAAATACCCAACTAAAAAATATTTCAGTCTCTCACTATTAACCACGTAATGGTTGGCTCAACTGGTTAAGAGGTGGATGAGTAACATACTCTGGTTTGATCTGCCCTGCTGGACAAACACTTGCAGGGTTAATTGCTGCCTTTGCTAGGATATCTGTGAATGGTTAGATTTTCTATTCTTCACTCCCCATCAACTTTAATGATAGTAATAAAAAGACAATGTGCATGTATTATCCATCACCCTGGCTGTTGTTTCAGGAAATATCAGGGTACAAAGAAAGCCAGTGTTACAGCTTGCCTTTTCAGCAAGATGTCATAGCATATACTAGCCCAGGAGTCTTTTCAACTAGCCCCAAAAACTATTTGATGAGCAGTATTGATTACACAGATTTTCTGTACTTTAAGTTACTCAAAAAAACTTAAGGAAGTTAAGAAAAAAATTCTAGCCCATGGCAAAATTAACTAGTGCCAAGCTATGCACTGCTTTCCTTGCACACTGAATATCAAAGCACTTTTTTATGCCATATTTTATAATTTTTTTTCCAAAGAAAACCTCTTAGATGTTTTCTTAAGCAGTTGTTATTTTATTATCCCCCTACAGACAAGGAATACTTGATGGACTAAAAAAGAATTGGGAAGAACTACATCACCAATACCAAGGCCTATCAGTGGTTACAGACACAGCACCCAAGAAAGCACGCAAAGAACGAATGGAAGCTGAAATGAAACAACTAGAAAGAGACATTGAAACTGTTGAAAAACACAAAGTTATATACATTGCAAATCCTTTCTAGACAGAATACTTAATTTGTTTTATTAGATGCTCCTACTCAGTATGTTTTTTCTTGATTCCCTCCAAGGCTTATAATATTCTGCAGTTTGATTCGGAAAGTTATGTTTATCTAATTAAAATCAGGTTAATCTGCAAGCATTAAAAAAGAAAGTTGAGAAAGTTGCCCTCTGATGCAACATTAATTTGTAAATAATATTGTACAAAGTATTTTATTAAAAATTCTCTGAATGAAAATAGTGTCTCTTTTGTGTTTTATGGAAAAGCAATACAGTCAACTCTGTTAAAAGCAGGCATTGTGAAATGAACCAGAAAAGCTAAAATGCACCCAATTTGGCATTCCCTGGTTAGTTACAGGTGACCCAAGCTCATGTTATGAGGGTGGAATGTAATTTCTATTGACGCAAGCGAGTCAGTATCATGTTACAAGTGATTGTTGAGATGTACGAATAAAAAAATACTGAGGTATAACTATCTTTTATTTTACACTTTAATCAATAAACTAAATAAGGAAGATTATCTTTGTAGCATTTCTGTGTGTTTCCATGTGGATTCATATCTTTAGGCCAGTTTTTTGCTCCATTGCGTTACCCCCGTAATTCCTTTCATAAGACTTTGTTGTCATCTTTGTTAATGATAACAGTTTATTTTCAATTTCAAGGATTTTCAGTAAGTTGAGTGCCTGTCTAATATTTTCTTAAAAACCAGGCCCAAAATTGAAAAATGGGTTGTTACCAAGCACAGATATCCTTAGACAAGCAAGTTTCAATCAGATTCTCTTCTGCATGTTTTCTTCTGCCATGTGAGTTGCCATGGTTATCCAAGTACATATACAGTGAAACCTGTATCAAGCAGACACCCTCTAACAAGCAGACAGTAGCCCAAGTCCCAAAATTTATTTCCCTTATTTGCTTTAAATGAAACCTTTCTTAAGTGGACACAGGGACACCTAAAAAGTACCTGCATGAAATGGTCATTTCCATTGTTACCAACCTGTATTAAATGGACACTTGTAATCAAATGCCACCACTATTGTTACCAACCTGTATTAAATGGACACTTGTAATCAAATGCCACCACCCAACATGCCAGATTGCCTCAAATTGCCACCCACAAATTTTTGTATTTTTACATTAAAAAAACATGACTTGACAAACATATTTGATTAGTTTCACAGTATAGTATTGTTTTCTATTCTGTTTTGTTTGTATAGAGCTTGTTTCACTCCTCTTCAAATTTGAGTCACAATCTATGTTTATGGTATTATGATCAACTGGTCCACGTTATCTATTGAAACCTGTATTAGGCGGACACCCTGTATTAAGCGGACACTACAGCATTCCCTGAGGGTGTCCACTTAATACTGGTTTCACTGTACTAGTCTTTATATTCTTCAACCGTATACTTTCATAAGACTATTAGAAACCATACTGAATCATGATACCCAGCAGTTTATAAATGGATTTTCCCAACCTCAGGGGCACCCAACAAGAATATAGTTCAAAACCACTTAAAAAAAGCATTGTTAAACGTATTTTAGTATTTAAACGGTAGATATAGGCATATTTTTATCCCCTAAAAATTTTTCATCTGTTCGGATTTCCTAGCTGAAAGTCTAGTGATCCGAAAATTATAGGGATCAAAACTCATCTTTTCGAAAATTCCAGCTTGAAAAAAGGCTCCCGAAAATTCTAGGTGACCTTTTTAGGGTAAAAATCCGTTAAAAATAGGGAATTATACAATTTTTTAGATGTTCGAAAATCTTAGGAGAGGCAGGAATGCAGGAAGTTTTACAACAAATGCTCCGAAAATTCTAGATCTCAAATCGTCTTCCGAACAGATATTTTCCGAAAATTGTCGTTGGGTGCCCCTGCAACCTCAACCTACAGAGTAAAAAAGTGTTCTGCTCCCCCCCTTCAAGGGGATGTAGAACTTTTAAGCCCCCCCCACCCTCTCCCCCTCATGCTGATGAATGATGACTCCCTAAGCAAAACCTATCATCTACAATCCTCCTGCAAACAATGAATCAAAACAAAAAAGCCATAATCCACCACAAGCTTTACTGTTATCTAGATCTCTTTTTATGGATGTACAACACATTTTCTTCAATAAATGCTAATGTTCTGGGAACTAAACATCTTACAGTTATGATTATAATGACAATTACAAGGACAACAAGTCTCCAGACATGCCATGGAACACCAATAAATAGCTCCTCCAGAACTGAAAAATAAACAAAGATTATGAATCACCAAAAAGAAAATCTCCTACGGACAAAGTTGAACTCCACATAGTGCCCAACCAAACAGGAGACGATGCCTTACCACTTATCCTGGGTCTACCGCTGTATGCATGCAACAATAGATTTCAAACAAGGGAAAATAAAACTAAAAGCAAGGGCAAAATTTGCTAAAGAATTATGTAATAAAATTCTAAAGGACTGTCAAGATGCTGGGTATTATATGCAATTATGTAGTTTGTTTGTTTGTTTTTTTCCTGTGAAATAGTCAGGGTCATGCTAGTGGGAGAAATCCCTCGCCCCCAGAATTGATTGACAGCCCTGCAAAGTGAAAGAAAAATTTAACACCTAGCAAGAAACATGAAATGAGAGGTTGCTCTATTTTTGCACTTCACTTACAATGTTAGAGAAGGCTAGAAGGCTAGTTTGAGTTATTCAAAATAAAATAGCAGAGAAGGGCACACTTACACCTACCTATGTTGTATAATACAGGTTCACCTAAACTAGCAGGGTTCAATGGCACTCCAGTCCTTATGGCTGTAACATTTGCAAACTGCTCCTGCAAATAAATTCCATGATAAGCAGCCATGTATCACAGCCCAAACCAAAACTTCTGCCGAAGTTGTAGAAGTCCATACCAGGGTAATTAGCAATCAGTAGAGGTTTTCTTCACTGGTCACTTGCAATATGAGCTCAGTGGCTGCTGTGGAGATTTGGCCATTACAAGGGGGGAGAGGAAGGGAGTGGGTAAAGCTTTAAGTATGGCACCATTTTGAGGAAAGGGTGGAGCATCTTTAGTTTTTAAAAATGCTTCATATTACAGCATACATGTATCAATAAATTTAATACGTCACCCAGCAAAAAGATAGCGATCAAAAGTTCAGAACATATTGATGTAGAATAGTGATTAAGGCACAGTAAGCACATCAGTTTATACAGCTTTTGCCTTTAAATGGCTTTCGCTGTTATGGAGTATCCATCATGCACTATATAAAATATGAGAGGGAGATCTGTAAAATTACAGGCCTT